AAAAAAAAAAAAAAAATCCTGATTAATCACTCAAATGTAGATATTATTTCTGACAAGTATATCTAATTATGTATCAATTTACAAAGTAAATAGATGAAGTTCAACAGAAACTTGTAGCATCACATGAAAAGATGAAGAGTCCATGTTGTAAATGTGGGGCTTTTAAGGGAAAAGACAAAATCTTGAGTTCATTACAGTTTTGAAATCTTCTCCTTGGAAATGGTCCAAAAAATCATCCCTGGAAATTGCTCCCTGAGGATGACCAAAGGCTGCAGTGTTCTGAATGCCCAGTATATGAGGATGACTGGGAGGAGAGGCACACAGTGGTCTCTTTCCACTCACAGGTCTCCCTCAGACTCATTTCAGGGGAAATTTTGGGGTGCTCTTTCCATCCAATCAAGACAAACAAAATTTCTAGGGTGATACATTTTTTCCTCAGAATAAAAGAAATGAATGCAGAAAAACATAAAGATAAATTACCCCTAGAAAAACAAACAGATTACAATAATTTCGAGATCACTATATTGTTTCATACTTTGTTTCTGAGAATATTTGGTGCTTGACAAATTTCTGAACAGACAACATTGGAAGACAGTTTCTCAGCACCTTGGCTGGGCAGTAAGTATCATTATGAGAACCAGACTGGAATATACTAGATAAAATAAAGGGGATTTTATGAAATAAATATGTACACACATAATTTGGGCTTCACCATAAGTAATGTTAAGATTTTCAGAAAAAGGAATATAGAGTTTGTGAAATCAAAGTATACAAGCAATGTACGTAATCTGAAAATACAATGTTGTGAGGAAAATTGATTTTGAATGGGAAAGTTAAAAATACATTATTACCAGAGCTGAAGGTCCATCCTGCCTCTGGCTACCTCAAAGAATTTTTGGAAAAGTTATTTTGGTGGGAAGAAAAGGGTTTATTTACTCCACAGGAGAGACAGGAGCTTCTGCTCCCCACAAATCTCTGTCTCCCTGTGTTAATTTCTGCCAGGACTTTTATGTCCAGGTGACTTCAAGCTCCCTGCTTCCTTTTTCCAAGTTTAATCAGACCTTGACCTCCTCGGGTGGTATCTGAATTTTGTTTCCAGGGAGTCATGATATTTCTGAGACCAAGCATTCATTCTCTGTGCAGTCATTTGAGTGGGGGCAGCAAGAGTATTCCTACACTTGGGCAGGGGAAGCTGGAGAAGAAGCCTGTTTTTAAAACCCAAAAGTTTTAAAGATTTTCTTTTTCTCTGTTATTATATTTTCATGAAATTAATATTAATGTGGGTCACCTAATTCCCAAAAAGAAATTACTTTAATTAGTATAGTAAATCATTTTGAACAAAAGGACAATGAATACTACACTAAAAATGTTTTTTTTAGCATGGTCATTATATATCCTCACTCAGGATTGGTAAAAACAGTCCTGATCAGGGACACAGCACTGTAAGTCTCTTTTCTGAAGTCAAATATCTGTGTAGAATCAGTGATAATATGTAACTGCTCTTTTCTAGATAAGTAATCATGTGCCCTTTTTCAGAAGTTAAGGATGTGGATAAGAGACGTTATCATATAATATTTTCTTAATAATTGAATGTGTCACTAATGGAAAGAGTTTAGATAGTGACAATTTCATGCTAAAAACAGGTAGTAACACTTTAATATATCAGAAACAAATGTCACTTTATACCCATATCTATATGTGGCAATTATATTTTTCACCCCTGTTCACAATGGTTTTTCATCAATTTCTAGAAACATTATGAAAAATACTGAGTCATTCACATAAATCAAAATATTTTTGGAGACTGCATAATTTTTAAAATTTATTGTTCAACAGATAAGTGCAGAGGAATCCATGGCTAGATGGAACTTGACCAATGTTCCTGGTTTCATCCTCATGGGGCTGATGGGCTCTGCAGAGACACAGCTGGTCCTCTCCATGCTCTTTCTCCTGATTTACCTGATCACAGTGCTGGGGAATGTGGGGATGATACTGATCATTCACCTGGATCCCCAGCTTCACACCCCCATGTACTTTTTTCTCACTCACCTGTCATTTCTCGACCTCAGCTACTCAAGTGTCATCACCCCGCAAACTTCACAGAACTTACTGACTTCCACCAAGAGCATCTCCTTCCTGGGATGCTTCACCCAGATGTACTTTTTTATAGTGCTTGCTGCTGCCGAATGTTTCCTTCTCTCCTCCATGGCCTATGATCGCCATGTAGCCATCTGCCACCCCCTGCACTATCCAGTTGTTATGTCCACAAGACTGTGCCATTCCCTGGTCACTGGCTCCTATGTTATTGGCTTTGTGGATTCCACTGTGAATGCAGTTTGCATGAGCCAACAACACTTCTGCAAGTCTAACATCATCCAGCACTTTTTCTGTGACACATCCCCAGTTTTAGCCCTGTCTTGCAGTGACACATTTGAGGTTGAACTTATTATATTCATCTTTGCGGGATCCACTATAGTGCTGTCCCTCATCATCATATCAGGATCCTATTTGTCCATTCTCTTCACTATCCTCAAAATTAATTCCATTGCAGGAAAGAAAAAAGCCTTCTCCACTTGTGCCTCCCATTTCTTGGGAGTCACTATCTTCTACAGCACTACAATCTTTACTTACCTAAAACCGAAGTCATCCTATTCCTTGGGAAGGGATCAAGTGGCTTCTGTGTTTTACACAATTGTGATCCCCATGCTGAACCCTCTCATTTACAGTCTCAGAAACAAAGAGGTGAAAAGTGCTGTTGTTAGAGTCCGGAAAAAGAGACAGGGTTCTAGAGAATTAAAATAACAGTGATGCTTGGTATTTAACCTTTTCCACTTTTCTTTCTTTCTTCTATGAAATTCCTTTGTCTCATTCTAAAAAACAAATCTATTTTTTTTCCTTTTCCATCTAATCTTTATTCTTGGTACCAGGGATCGAACTCGGAACCTTGCAAGCTTGTGAGACAAGCAGCAAAACCACTGAGCTAAATTCCTGGCCCTCAGCTACTCTTTATTGACATCATGAATTTGGACATTTTGAAACACCAGTACTTACAAATTTACATTATAATTATGATTCATCAATTAAGTGTTAAATCTAAGATGTACAAACTCTATGTTTTTAAGGAAAGCTTTTGTGTAAATAATTTTTTTTCTAATTTTCTAAACTATATTCATGTACTGTTTCTCCCAACCTAAATTTAAAAATTTTTTATAATGAAAAAGCATTTTATTTTTCATATGTTTTTCTGTTTACAGTGATTTTCAGCAGCAATGTTTGGGTCAACTTCTATCAAGTCATCATTACTGCATTTAGATTTTACATCTTGTGATTCTCTAGCATGTGCCAAATGCTGATTTACTGAAATAATGTTTCTGTATGACCATATGCATGATATATAATAATTCCATGTCCCTCTCATCAAAGGATGGACATAAAACTTTTAGGAAAATGCAGTAAGTGCCGGCCATGATTGGCAGAAGGCTTGAATTCCTACAATGTTTTGACATAATAAAGAGGGCATTTTTCTGGACAATATTGTTTTATGTTTTACAAGTGTCTTTTATTCCAATTAATTTACATACTAACCTACAGCTCAAAAAATAGGGCAGTATTTCCCATTTTAGGATTAGGTAATATATTGAAGTAGGCTTTAGTTACAGGAAAGTGATATATCTTAATGTTAAAGGCAATTTGGGAAATGGTTATGTATAAAAGACAAACACTGTATCCATTGTTGCCTCTTTTGTGCATGCTTTTCTAAATCAGTGGTTATTAATATGTCTATATATAACACAATTGCTGCCATTTCTTGTACAATCTTTACCACTTTCTTTTTTAAATTTAAAGTTAACTATCTAATAAACTGTATAATTAAAACATATAAGATCATCATGTACTCAGTATATGAGAAAAATTATGCCTTTTTACAATGCTTTGAACCTGAAATGTACTGAATTTACCAATTTGAAAATCATGAGCAATAACTGCAGTTAAGTGTGTTCCTGTGAGCCATGAGGACACCAAAACTTTCAGTGACATGACAATGAGCTTCAGCCACTGTCGTCTTTGCCTGTCTCTTGTGTCTTCAGGTTTATAGTGTTCTTTTAAAATAAATTAATGATTATCACATCTGCTTCATATGTTATCCTTTTAAAGTAAACCTGCTGTAAAGGAAAGAACTGACAGTGAATTTACAATAAATTTAGATCAAAAAGGGATAAAAATCTTCTTATTTTTAAAAATACTTTACATTTTTAATGTCAGTTTAAAATTTCTCTTTGGCATCTTAAGGTAATTTGATAGTGTACAGTTCCATTCACAAGTAAGATATTTTATTTCAACTTATATAAAAATTATTACACTGATTGGTTCCCTCTAAACATGTGATTATAAAATTATCACATTTTTCAAATTGAAGTTATTTTACATAAAAAATATTTCATCATTTTAGGTGTCTAAAGTGCAAAATTTCCATGTTAACAATTAAGATTTATCAATGTTTTAATATTTTAAAAATATGTTATTTTTAAATCAAATACAGAATTATGCCTATTATTCCATCAATATTACTAAAAATTGTATTTTATTTACCTTCCATATCTGTCTTTTCCAAAAATTGATACTTGTAGATATTCCTGGTTGTCTTTCTTTGTGACTAGGATTAAGAATTTAGCAAATATTTATTGTTTGATGTATTGTTAGGGCTCTTCTTTCATCACATAAAGGTCTTAGTGATTTCATATATTTATGGACTATTTCAGCTCTCCACTCTCCAATCTCCACCTGTTTTTATAAGACATAGTTTTATCTTATATTCATTTATTTGTATGTTAATGCTTTAAAAAATATATTGTATGAGTTTATCTTGGAAAACCCATCAATAGAATGTGTGACTGTGTAGAAAACATTTACGTTAAAAAAATTCTTTAATTTTAATTAAATTAAATCAGATTTATTTTCTTTATTACATAGGGTGGAAAACATTTATATTATGTTATTCTATGAACCTGCTGTAATCTATTGATCCATAGTTGCCCTTCTAACTAACCTGCATGGCTCATAGGCATTGGGTAGCCACAAAACCCACAGCAAGGTGTTCCAGCCAATTTGGTAAATCTCTAGTGATGGGTGTGGAATATTTTTTAGCCTCTTACTGAATGGTGTCTAATGGGAGAATAAATGGTAACACATAGTGTAAACTACAGAATCTTCTGCCCATTCACCATGACAAAGAGGAGGATTCTCCCTCGAAGTTATGGGGTCTAAATGAGGTCATACTACAGTTCATGGGCACATCTAAGAAAGGCTAAATAGGTGTTCACATGGCAAATAAATACACCCTAAAGGCCAGACAGTCCTTACAGTGGCTGAGAGGCCTAGGCCACTCAACTGACTGAGTGTGTCCTCCCACAAAGATACACACCCTTCCTTTGTCTGTTGAGATATCATTCAAGGGTGCACCACATAAATACTAAGACTTCTTTCTCTATGTCCAGATGTCTTCTATTTATGTTGTTCTTGTATTTCACAGTCTTATCTATCTCCTGCCTGCCCTAAGTCTCTCTACCGTGGGGTCATCATCTTAACAAACTTTCACATCCATGATTTTCAGGCAGTTAGCCTGCAGCAGTCATAAGGTAAGGTAGTCCTCCCCCATCCTCCCCCATACAACCCTAGTTCACACCCTCTCCTATTCTTCCAGACTCTCCTGCCAGCAACTCCCTCACTTTTGTCTCTCCTCCTGCCACCTCTCCCCCTATAGGTGAGCATCTCCATTCCAGGCAGCAGGTCACCACCTCAGGAAGAGGCAACCCAGAGTCTCTCTTGCCTTTGAGGGAAGCCCCTCCTCCCAGTGGGGAAGGCCCATGAACCTGCCCATCATTGTATATGTTCCCTTTCCACTTCTGACCTCTACAACTGGAAAACCCAGAGTCCACCATTCCCTGAGAAACCCATGGATCTGATTTCTCTTGTAGAGTCCATCTCTAGGCCTCATCTACAAAACTGGGGTGATGGTCAGCAGTTGTTACTGACCCTGTTCAGTGCTGAGGGATGGGACAGGATGAGGATTGAGGCTTGAAAGGTCTTATTGGTGGGGCTTTAGGAGGAGGCCCACGAATTGCTGAAACAATGATACAATGATTCTTCTTGGAGCAGTCTAAATGGGATCTGAATTCTTTAAGGGTGAAAGAGGCTTTCATCACATTTTACCAAAACTTGTTGAACAGGATTTCAGCAGCAGTTTGGAAACCCATAAGTCTGTCAAAAACCACAGAAGTAATGCAGGGACCAGAGGAGTTCCCTGTTGGATTCCTGGAGAGCCTCAGTCTTTCCAGGTTTATACCCTGTTTGCCCCCTCAGCTCCAGAGAACAATAGAGCAATAAGTTAGACTTATGTTACTCAGTCTGCACCCGATATTAGGAGAAAATTACAAAATTTGAAGGGATCTCAAGGAATGAACACACCTCAGCTGTTAGAAGTAGCTCACAAGGTGTTTGAGAAAAGGTATTCAGATAAACAAAAATTGCCCATAGTAGTGGCAGAAAGATCAGCTAGGAAACCAGAAAAGGTCTTGGAAGCTGCTATCAGAGAGGATCCCTGTGTGACACAACCCCAGGAATCCCTAAGGGCAGGTGCCTAGAAAGCCAGGAAGTCATCCGCCATTGGGCAGATATCAATTTGCCTATTGCAAGGAGGAAGGGCACTGGACAAATGAATGTCCCCACAGGCCCTCTGCCAATATCCCTCCACATATCTGAGGGAAAGGAAGATTCAGGCTGAGGGGGCTGAGGCTCTTTCTCTCTTGGCCCCTGGGAGGCCACATTACATGTTGAAGTAGGGGGCCAACTGGTCCGTTTCCTGATGGACACTGGTGTGGAGAGGTCAGTGTTAAAAAATATTATGAAATGCTTTCATCAAAAACCATCCCCACGTTGAGGGCCATGGGAGAGTCCCAAACTGCCATACTGGACTAGGCATTTGCCTTGCTGGGATGAGACCTCCACAATACCCCATCTCTCAGAAGGCCAGACAGGATAGCCCCTCACATTGAGAGCATGATGGACTTAGGCATATGAAGTCCCTATCTGTCTGCATGGGACACCCTGTTCCTGCCTGTAGCAAAACTACAGACATCAGAACACAAGCAGTTTCAGGACTTGAGAAAAGCTAACCAATGTGTGGTAAAGCTGCATCCTATTCTCCTCAAACCCTATACCCTCTTGAGTTTGCTGTCTCCTGAGCACCAAGTGTATACTCTGCTAGGTTTAAAGGATGCGTTTTTCAGTGAGCCCCTTGACCCAGCTACCCAGCCTGTTGTCACCTTCCAGTGGACTGACCCTGTTTCCAGGGACTCATGCCAGCTCACCTTGACCTGGCTTCCTCAAGGATTCAAACATACACCCACCCTGTTCAGTGAGGTCTGGTCAGTGGGGGATTCAGGGGAGGAGGCCCACAAAATGCTGAAAAAGTTTCTCCTTGGAGCAGCTTGAATGGGATGTAAATTCTTCAGGGGGGAAACAGGCTTTCATCACTTTTTAACAGAACTTATTGAATGGGATTTGAGCAGCAGTTTCTAAACTCATAAATCTCAAAAACCAATAATATAAAATGGGGACCAGAGAAGACCCCTGCTGCATTCCTGGAGAGCCTCATAATACTTTTGTATGACTTATACATAATTAAGTGATAAAATAGCCCATTTCCAGTGCTTGTTTGACCTGTTAATCATGGAGTATCTTTATGCATCTTATGTATTTGATATTTTGTATAATTTAACACACTTTCATAAAACTTTATTTTG